CATCATATAAGGTATAATTCTAAGAAATCTCTTTGCATATGGAAACTCTGAAGATAAATCTTAGAGCTAGATAACTAGGATGAAGTCGCAGCACCACCATTTATTAGCTATGTCAACTTCCAGTTGTTTTCACGTATAAAATGAGGATAACAATTTACCTTACAGGATTGTAGTGAAATTTGACTAAGATAAGGTACAGGAGAGAGATTTGTAAGCTATTAAATGCTATAGAGGTATGAGGCAGCAAAACACTATGGCCAGTGTTTGGAAGTTACAATGCAGAGGATTTCAATTAAATCTAAGAAAGAAATTCCTACAGTGTAATAATATAATCCAGTACAGAATGAGCTCCCTTACATTTCACTGAGCCCCTTCTCCAGAAAGTTTTCAAGCAGAGGCTGTGTGGCCATCTGTTGGAAATGTGGCTAAGAGGCCTTCCATCTTAGAAGGGAAGGTGCCTGATATTATTTCTAATGATTACTTCTGAATCCAAGATCTGTGATGAGTGATATTTGGCAACTGGAGTGGCAGCTTCGGGTTTATATATGGCAATCTTAAATCACACTGTTTTCCTTCCTTGTCAAGGCTGTTATAAAGAAGTTATATCCATAAGCAGATCTCATGAAGAACCTAAAGGCTGGTTTCTTTGTACACTTGACTCTCAGGAGATGAGCTAGCTCTTGGTACAAACCCAGGAATGTGTAGCAGGAAATGGAGTTCTCTGCCTATATCACAGACTGTGCCTCCAATATGATAGCAGCGAAACCCCAAAACAATAAGGTGTCACCAATATCCACCCAGACCACACGTTTACACATGCACATATGTTTACACACATACACGTTTACACACACATGCTGATTGGACCAAAAATCAGAGAATTTTCATTTCATTCACTCCCACATCCAGTCCATTAGCAAATCTTGTTAACTCTAGTATCAAAAGTACTTCTTAACCACTTCATTATAATCAACACCCTAGTTCAAGCCACCATGACCTCTCATCTAGGTTGCTGAAGTGGCCTTTTTACCAGTCTCCCAACTCAGTCTTGACCCACCACACTCTATTCTTCATAAGCATCCAGAATAGTCCTTTTACACTGTAAATTAGGCCATATCACTCTCTGCTCTTGGTCCTCTAGTGACTTTCCATCACACTTAGAAGAAAATCCACACTGCTTTCCAAAGTTTCCAGGACCCTGCACCATGTGGTCCCTGAATACCTCTTCAATGTTGCTTCCTGCCTGCTCACTCCAATATACAAAACACTTTTGGTCTTAAGATTTTGCACTTGCAGTTTCTCTGCTCAGCGTGCTCTTCCCTAGATGTTCATGTGGCTTGTTCTTTCACAACTTATCATACAAACATCCTGGCTCCATCACTCCCTTACTTAGTTTTTCTTCATAGCACTTCCTACCACATGACTTATTAATTTGCTTATTTTTATTGTCTACCATTTCTCCATTAAAATACAACTCCGTAAGGGATTGTTTATATCACTGTATCCATAGTACCTAAGGAAGTTTCTGGTACATGGTAGACATTCAATAAACACTTGTTGAGTGAATAAATGAATGAAGTCCTTATACTATTTCAAATACTAGAATTTTTAATGGTACGTTTAAGGAGATACTTGTCGCAAATCTGGGGAATGGTGGTGATGTCCAATACTCATTTTGAGGTGTCGTTTATTCTGTGTTGTCATAAGGTAATGTCTCTCCATTGCCTCAAACCTTCAGCTAATTTTATACACAGAAACCTGTGGTAGCGATGCCTGGTTGGCAACAAAGGCATTCCACAGTGGGCGTGTCAGGAATGTAGACAGCATGTCCACTGCAGAAACCGGTGAAAGCCAGGAAATTTGTGATCATGTGGACTGCCCAAGGGAATGAGGGCCTTCCCTGAAATTCTCAGAAAACTTGAAGACTAAACTTTCCACAGAATGTTAAATGGAGGTGTATGTCATTCTATGGAGAATTAAAAGAAAGAGGTGATCCCATAGGGCCGAAGGAACGTCCAAGTAGGGAGGAGGAATGTCTGCATTGCCCTTTCTCTGATGAGGTACCAGCCAGAACTCTAGAAAAATGTTTCCCAGTAAAGGGGAAGCTTTGATAAAAGTGAGAAAGTCATCACTGGGGTGATTCTTTCCTGTCTTCTGGGTGAACCTGTAAGGACAGAGTACCCACTTAGCTATCTACATTACCAAGGCAGATTGTTTCCAAGTGAATCCCAAAGGTCCCTGTACCATCAATGACTTACTATTTCTAAATAGTATTTATTTCTGAACCCTCTCCCTTAAGGAATGGGGTTCTAATTTCCCTTTTCTAGAATCCCCACATTCTGTCTTTGGATGATCCAAAACCTTGGAAAAGAAAAAGAAATCAGAATGTTAAAATGTATCTCTACAAACACCAGAACTTACCCAGACCCCTTAGAAAAATGTAATTCAACATGTGGCCTCCATACTTCCTTAGATAAGGACCAGGGCGAGTCTAGGGCTTAACCCACTAAGGAAAGTTTATACAATGACTTTGGGGAGTGCGGGTGGCAGGCAGCTTCTCTCTCCAATTCTCCTCTTTCTATGAGCGACTGTTTCGCTTAAGTCACACTCGCAGTGATGCCCCCACAATAGAGCTCTTTTCCTGTTAAGCTGTGGTAAGTCAAAACCTACTTCAGAGAACACAAAGTCACCACACTGGGGGAATGAGAAAAGAGGTGGGTTTCATGTGCTTTTCGTTGCTTGAAAAGAAAAAAGAAAGAAAACCTCAAACTACTGAACTAGAAGCACCCTTTACGTACGTATGTGTTTGTGGTGTGTTCTACTTTGGGTTTAGCATTTCATAAAGGAACAATGCCAATCCAATTTTCAATAAACATATTAAAAAGCTTTGAATTTTTTACATTCCTTATGTTCCAACTGAGGTTAAAAAAAAATTAAGGTTCCTAAAGGGACCGTCAGTACCTCTTCTCTGGAATCAGTAAAGCATAGTGAGCTACAATTCTACCTTCAGAAAGTCCCCAAGGCATCCTAGTGCAGCTCAGACTCAGGGAGATGAAAGGGCCAGTAGTATCATTAGCAGCTGACAGCAACAGTTCAGCTCAGGATGCTCAGGCCCTTCCCCACTTACACTGTGCTCTTGTACCATTATCTAGAAGGGTCCATTTGCAAAAGAATCATGGTCTAGCAAACTTCCTATGACCCTTTGGAACTGGCATACTTGATAGTTGAAGCCAAAGGGGGAGAGTGGATGAGGAGAATTTCACCCTCAGGGCTGGGAATACAGTCCAGCAGTCAGCCATAGGAAAGGTAAATGTACCTACTGGAATTTCTCCAGGAGGCACCTGCTAAGGAACCTGACCCTCCAGAGCAGATGAATGAATACAAGAGTTTTAGGGAGGGCAAATGACAATTTTCAACCCGAAGCCTTGGTTTTGTTTGTTAACGTATTCAACAAGTATTTGAATATATTCTAAATGATAGTTTTAACTCTGGTGACCCAGCAGTTTTCCTTGTCTCTGCCCTTGTACCATGTACATGTACTACCTATTCAAATCAATCAAAAAAAAAAAAAAAAAAACTAAATCAGTGACAGATCAATAATTGATTGATGTAAATTCATGTTAGATGAAAATAAAATAACACTAGGCAGCCTGTTTGGGTAATTTTTGTCCAGCAACAACCAGCTGCTGGGATGACAGCATAAAGAAAATAGAATTTTTGGAAAGGGAATACAGTGGAGGAAGAGAGTATTTTGGAGTTCAGAGTCTTTCCAAGGTACTGGATGTCATGACAGATGATGAAATATGCTGGACATAGAAACGAAGATATGGAAGGAGCTGATATATATATATTTATATATATATATTATCATGTATATTATATAAATATTTTCATATATATATGAAAATAAAGTTCATTAATTAGAAGTCTTAATATTTTCAAAAATGTTTCTTAAAGAAAATGTTGGACCAATTCCTCTAGAATAATAGGAGATGATGTGAAAATAAGACATCTGAAATCAAATGCCAAAGGAGTTACTATAATTTTTAATGATAGCGAAGTCTAGGGAGCACCCATGACAATGAGTAGTTGAAGAAAGTAGGAAAAGGCCATTGTGAGTGACAAGTATGAGAATACAAGAAACCATGTGCCAAATGGATCCCACAGATCAGTGGCCTCTGGAGGACGAAGCGGCTCTAATAGAGTGGCTGATTAGTAATGGTAGACACCATTTTTTTATGTTCTATGTGTGTGTATTTTATGTACACACCAGCTCTTTTTTTGTTCAAGGAAGGTCAAGAGACCTGACCAGTGATACATACATAGGTAGTACATGGAAAAGCAAACATTCAAATCTAAGTTTTTTAATCCAAAATATGTGCCCTTTCCACTGTGCCATGGTTCTGCCTTCAGGAAAAGATAATTTCTCGTCAGATCTGTGGAAAATTGGGTAAGCTTAACACTGGTCATAATATTGGTAATGAAACCTCTGGGAGGTGAAGAGGGAAAAATATATATATAGAGAAGGAAGACCTGGCAAAGGTGAAAAGATTGCCTCATAGTTCTTCTCACCCCAATAAATTTTTGTTTTTCTTTTTTTTTTTTTTTGAGATGGAGTTTCGCCCTTGTTACCCAGGCTGGAGTGCAATGGCACAATCTCGGCTCACCGCAATCTCCACCTGCTGGGTTCTGGCAATTCTCCTGCCTCAGCCTCCTGAGTAGCTGGGATTACAGGCACACGCCACCATGCCCAGCTAATTTTTTGTATTTTTAGTAGAGAAGGGATTTCACCATGTTGACCGGGACGGTCTCAATCTCTTGACCTCGTGATCCACCCGCCTCGGCCTCCCAAAGTGCTGGGATTACAGGCGTGAGCCACAGCGCCCAGCCTATAAATTTTTGTTAAAGTGGTCTGGCATCGTAATGAATAAAGAAACCATGGAAGAAAGAAATAATATGCAAAAATTCAAATATTTGTAAAATATTTGCTAAAAATTATCTGTATCCTAACATATGCTTTATATTACATTTTCTTTTCCCAAAAATGTACATCTATATAAATATTTATTATATTCTAGGAAAACTTCATCAGTAGCTGAAAATCAATGATTTTTAAGAACTATTAGAGTTTATTGTCAAGAAGCATTCAAACTCTATCACCAAACGCAACCCATATTTTCCTAATATGTATTTCACAATCTCTACATTCTCTCTTTAGTTACACACACACACACACACACACCCTACAATTGCACTGGAAATACACATGCTGTGTTAGGAATGGAATGAGTCCTCAAAATATCTCTCTTGCTTCTCTGTTACTATCAGCGATGGCTCAGGCTATGTGTTTAGAAGTGAAGATGCTGCTAGTGGAGTGTCGGCCTCTTTCAGCCTCTTTAGCTTATTATGCAAGCCTCTAGTCCTCCTTTCCCATCCCTTAAACACTCATGTCACAACCATGTATCAGAAAGACAGTCACCCTTGAGGTAGCAAGGCCCACCCTGAGAAGTGAGTTAAAAGGCATCCTTTTCAATGTGCCCAAATACTTTCAGGCACTGAAGATGAATGTAGAACATCTGGCAGCTGCTTTTCCATGCTTCTGCCTCTTCACATGGCAGCCCAGATGTTCTTCAGTCATATTACTCCATTTGTCTGGCTCATAAACGTTAGGTGAGTGAAGAGCTACAGACCTTTTGAACCTTGTGGTCTCAAGGTCCACTTAGTTCATGTCTTCTTACTTGACCTCAAATGTGCCTAAGAAGACCGTCATTGAATACAACAGTCTCAGTGTGTGTAACAAAGAATCATAATGGAAAGAATCCCAAAGTGCTTTTCTTAGAGCTTATATAAGCCAAAAAATGTCTGAGATTCCTCAAAATTGACCAGAGAGAGCTCAGATACATTGACATATAAATGATCAGCACTGGTAAGATTGAACACTGCACCCAGGTAGCTGCTGCGGGCCCACATCTGCCCAGCAGTGCAGTAGCTCATCATCTTCCCCTCCATCATCACCAGATCCTGGGGATACTTAGAGTTCCTCATGTAGACCTTGTGACTCAGGGGCAGGTTGTTGCAAGACTGACCCCGAAAGTATACTTTGGAATATACAAAATACAGCCCAGTTTCATTGATCACAAGGCCACCCTTCTTATACTTCACTCCAGAAAGCAGGACAATTCCATAGGTGTCTTCCCATTCCAGAGGCATGGACCTTGAGTTGGGCTTGCCTGAAATAAATTCAAAAGGAGCTTTCAGCCAGGAATGTCATGCATCCAACAAACTAAGTTTCTATGGGAAAACCGCGGGTCCTTCCTTGAACAAATGTTTTACCCGAATGACACAGCCTATATAGAACCGGCTGAGGGGCCAGAACTTGATCCATCACAGAATTTCTTAAACATTGTTGTCCTGTTTTGTCATCCACACAATTAGAACAATAGTATATATCCCAATCAATTGCAGTAAAAAATTATTAGAAAATATTAGCTCTCTGGAACAAAGATATTATTTTCAGAACTAACACCAAAACTGCTAGGCATTGAGGTCCTTTCCTGAAGGAAAAAGCCAAATCCAAGGAACTCTAATGTCTTAAAGTTGGGAAGGATCTTAGGAACCATCTGGTCCATCTTCTCACCCGCAGTTAAGAATTTTTCAGCTCCTCAATTTGGGCTACAGTTTCCTTTTCTTTGTATCCCCACAGCATCAAGAACATAACCCAAATCTCTGCAGTACTAAAATCATCATAAGTGCCTGTCTTTCCCTATTAGATGTCAAGCTCCCTGGGGGCAAGAGCCATGTGCTACTCATCTTCACATCCCAAAATTGGCACACAGCAGGTACTCAATAAGTGTCTGCTGATCTGACTGGATCATTCTACAGTTTCTGCCTAAATAATACCAGGGACAATAGCCTACCACTTTCTGTGATATTTATCCACTTCTCAGTTATTTATGAAGTTTACAATGGGAGTGCCCATACCATATCATTTCACACCACTTTGCAGGCACAGGCTGAAAGTTGACAAGTGCCAGGACTGAGTTTCCCTTCTCACTCCTATTTATACTCTTGGACAAAACAGAGTAAAGCTCTTCCAGAAAACCAAGAAAGCACTGATGAAAATAAGTCCTCATTCCTCACCTTCTCAGCTCTCACCTTTTGGATCTGTGCCCCCAATCCCCAAGGGACTTGGGAATGACTGAAAAGAGTGAGGTCATGTACAGGGGTCATGTCATAATTAGCTCTAGGTCTCCAATTTAGAAGAGGCCCTTGCCCAGAGAATAGGGGCTCAAAGTATGTTTGCAAGACTGACTTGACAAGAAAGATGTTAGTATTGTTGGGTTCAAATACTGTCACCAGGAAGTAACAACTCTCTAGGGCCCAGTAATGAAACCAAGCAGCTATTCTGCCTGTTGCCAAAAGCTTTCCCAAATCCCACCTGTACCTTCCAGATACAGACCTGTTAAATGGGCCACTTTCCTCAGCTCCTTTCTTTCAGGGGGTGGACTAGGGTGGCCTGTGTGATAGAGGAATACATGTTAAAATGAAATACCAACAATGATTTTGGTGGGAATTTAAATCTCATTTTTTTTTTTTTTTTTTTTGAGACAGAGTTTCGCTCTTATTGCTCAGGCTGAAGTGCAATAGCTCGATCTCGGCTCACTGCAACCTCTACCTCCCGGATTCAAGCAATTCTCCTGCCTCAGCCTCCCAAGTTAGCTGGGATTACAGGCATGTACCACCACACCCAGATAATTTTGTATTTTTGGTAGAGACAGGGTTTCTCCATGTTGGTCAGGCTGGTCTCAAACTCCCCACCTCAGGTGATCCGCCTGCTTCAGCCACCCAAAGTGCTGGAGTGAGCCACCACACCCAGCCTAAATCCCATCATTTAAAAGAAAAGATTTTAAAACCATAAATGCCAACAGTCTAACATATACTAATCCTGTAAGTCTGAACTGTAGGACTCACAGTAGTCTATATTTCAGAAACGAAGAAGTAAAAAACAAACCAAATTATGATTGATATATGCATAAATTATAATGTTACAATAAAACATAATTAATATAAACATTTATTCATAAAGAGCTGTCATGTCAATTACTGCATTTAGAACTCACCATAACCCTTTGAGGTATGTATTATTATCCCACCTTATCGATTGCAAAATGAGCTTAGAAGTTGGGTAACTAGTTCAAGAAGACCCAGTTAGACAGTATCAGAAATTGGACCACACCCTGGACTCCTGACTCCAATTCCAGGCCTCTGTCCACTCTGATTCTCTCGTCCCTAAGATTTACAGGACAGAGACTAAAGACTGCTGATCTGTCTGCGTGTCACCAGGTCTTCCCCCAATGACATTTTACACTCTGCTCCAAATTAATTATATTAAGAACTCAGACAATCACCTCATATCACTGAGGCTTAAACCCCTTTAATGGCTCCTTCCCAAAGATGCAGTTGTATATGCGTCTTCTTATCACACAATCCCAGCCAATCTGCCCAGCCTTATCTCCTTACTCCCACTGAGCATTGCCACACAACGGGAGTTCTGTGGCCTACACATACCCTCACTTCCCCTCCTGTGTGTCTTGGTTCATGCCATGTCTTCCGCCCATAATGTTCTTTCAAACAGATTTCTGTGTCAAATTCCTAAACATCCCACAAGGACAATCTAATATATCTCTTTCTTTGGGGAACCCTGTCAGGCCTTTTTTGATCAAATACAATCTTTCCCTCTTTTGAAATCTAGGATCACCCTGTTTTCCCCACTCTTTCTGACTCCTCTTCTCTAGGATAACTACATAACTTATCTTATTCCCCTCAAATAATGACAAGTTTCTTACAATATGTTGAATTCACCAGAGTAGCCCAGTTTCTAACACAGGATATGTTACTAGCAAATGCTGGACAAATTAAATGGAAGGACAGACAATAGTTCTCAAAACAGATACTATTTCTCTGACTTCAACTATTTCAGACAAGATAGACAGCTGCCACTTAGCTAATGAATTCAGCTAACTGAGATATCAATTAATATTCACACAAAGTGCTTGTCTGTGTCAGGTTCATGATTAGCCTGTAATACTCACACATGGTCTGAGAATAGCCCAATCCACAGAGAACATTGCCTGAACAATCATGACCTCTGTAGTCACCCAAGCCACCCCACCACAAAGGCGGTGTTAGTGAACAGGAAAGGCAAAACTGAGTTTCCTCTGCATTCCTACACCACAAACCATCTGAGCAACTAATCTGGCATTCAGCCATGCACCGGCAGGAAATGGAAGAGAGAACCACATGTCTTTATATCCCTCACAGAGCCTAGTACAATGTTATTCTCATAGAAGACGCTCACTAAGAATAGCTGCTATACAAATACTGGAATAAATAAACTGCAGATATATCCTAGACACTGGTGATGAGTGCTTCCTGCCCCAGGTTTTTTGCACGTGCCATTCCCAGCACTGAAATGCTCTCTCCCAGCCCCACCACACTCCACAGTACATGCACACAGCCCTTCACTCTGCGGCTTCTGACCTCCACGGGTGTCAGCATAAACAACACCTCCTTAGAGAGGGTTCTCCAGGCCATTCCATCTTAGGTTGCACTGAGTAACTTTGAAATTGCATGGTCTTTTTGCTTGCTTTTTTTTAGCTTCTTCACCATGCTAAAAGCTCCATAAGGACAGGCCCCCTGGGCTCACTCACCCTCAGTCAGCATCCAGCACCCAACATCTAGCCTCACAGATGTGAATGAATAAGATATTTAATTAGTTAACGGAAAAAAAATGGAAAATATAAAAAGGAGGCAATTAAAGAGTGTAAATAATCTATAATAGTATCTCTCAGAGAAAATCACTGTGAGTACATCAGTATAGAAAACTTTCTAGTTCCTTTCTAAGAATATAAATATGTGCATACATGCTTACATAGTCAGTATGAAACTAAACATACTCTTTTGTAACTTGTCTTTTTATCTAACAATAGAGTGTACAATCTCCAAGGCATTAAACGTCCTTCTGATATGTTTTTAGTTGCTGCTTATTAAGCACTTGTCTGAATACATCATAATGTATATGACTAACCTAGTATGAGGCATTCAAGTTTCTTCTGAATTGTTTATTATAAATAGGCTCATAAGGAAGTAATGAATATCCTTATATGTAAATCTTCAGGCACAGGCACATCTCTGATTATTTTCTTAAGATAAATTCTTAGCTATGGGATTACAACGTAAACTATTAGTTCCAAGCTTTTGATTGTATATCCAAAGTGCTCTTCAGAGAAAGCTATAGCAATTTACATGTACACTGGCTGAAACAAATGTTTGAACAGGCTCTTTTCTCTCAAATCTTTGTCAATTTGTGCTTTTTTTTAATTTTTACCAATTTGATGAAAACTTGATATTTCCTATTTTTAATTTGCATTATATTAATTTGAATCTCTTTTCTTATTAGCCATGTGATAATTTACCAATTTCTGGTCCATCTAGAGAAGATAATTGCTTACCAGGCAGATAGACCTGACTCATCTGATCATTTGACTTTTAATCACTAAACTGACTCAAGAGTGGGTGAAATATGAATAATTAGGTACCTATCAGACCAGGCACATTCCACAGATTTTCAAAATGATCTTATTTAAGACATCCTCCAGAGGCTTTATTTTTTTAACAAATATTTCCACTCTGCTTGTGTACATGTGGAAGTTCTAACATATAAGGATTAGGACACAGACACAGGAGCCAGAGCATCCAACAGTGGCTCCTACAAGAACCTAACAATCTGGGATAGCAGACAGGCGACTGGGTTGCCTGCAGTAGCCACATCCAGAGAAATGGGAACTTGCTCCACTTCTTGGCCAGTGCTGCCTTCTGCTTGCTTCTGAGTTTCTAAGGATGAGATTTACCTATTCTCTTTGCAGAGGTATTCTGCTTTTCATCTATTTCTCATTCCATGGTCACTACAGTCAGGAGTTTCCCTACTTGATGAGGCACCAGTCCATGTGCTGGAAAGCCCTGTAGGTGACAAGGCATCAAGAGCCCGTGTTCCTTCCAGCCCCAGTTCCAGACCAGTGTTCTTGGGCGTGTTCACCTAATCTGTCTGGTATTTTGTTTCTCTTCCAAAAGACAGAATGACTGGACTAGATATATTCTAAGCTTCCTTCCAACTCTAAAAATTCAATGAATCGCATTGTAAATCTAAATCTGAAATTTCAGTGAACCTTAGACTAGTGAAGTGTGCCGTAAAATCTATCTGTACAGAGCTTGCAAAACTATGCCCTGACATTTCATGAGATCAGTGTTCAACATGTCATCTTCTTGTCCTAGCTCCCATACAAAGGGTTTTCCTTTGTGATCAAGGGTACCTCATGACCGTCTCTGTGGGTGAAGCTGAATGTCCTTTGAATGATGGCTGAAGTCTTCCCCTAAGCTACTCAGTGACTTCAAGAAAAACCATCCTATTGTGGGCAATTGATTATCCTCATTAAAAGCATACATCCTATAAAATAGTTTATAAATTAAGCTTCACTGTAATCTCTTTAGAGAGTTTAAAAGAGGAGAGGACGTTTCTGAGAAACATCTATCTCTGCCTTCACCTCGCCTTCTCTTCCCAGGAGTCAAAGCCACTGGCATGTGTGCCACAACCAAGATGCCTGTGGAATGCGACAGACCTTCCTCAGGGGGCAAAGGTCCAAGTTGTGTATGTGTGTCTCCAAAGTCAAGTGAAAGTGATTTTGAATTGTGTGCTGTGCTCAGCTATACTGATTGTGAGCAATTCAATTGACTTCACATTTTTAAAGCAGCTCGAGGAATCATATTGACCAGAAATTCAGAATCAGCCAGAACTCCTCTCATAGCATACATAAGCCAAAGTGTAGGACAGAATATAAGGCATTCCATTAACATAGTTCAGTGCTGAGGATCATCTTTGGGAACTCATTGTACCCACAAAAAAAGGACTCACCTATTTGCTTCTCCACAGACGATACTGCATGCCTCTGGCTGGCAGACTAGTAAAAGAGAAAGAGAAAAGATGTATAAAAAAAATAAAACTCTTTAAGCAAAAGAGGCAGAATTGTCAAATAAACCAAGCCCTGGAAAAAGAATCCAAATACCTCAGAACTTTTGTTAACTCAGGCTTTGTCCAAGCAATTTTGCCTCACTGTCCCCCAGTTTTGTGATTTGGAATCATATCAATATTTTAAGTACTTTCAAGATTCAGTTTGGTCATCTGAACAAATTTACTTCCAAGCAAAACTTAAAAGTTTGGTTTGTTTGTTACTCCTTGAATCACTAGGTATGAGGCAGGAAGTGGTTCAACAGACTGAGTTGACACATGAGGAAAAGAAAACTGTTGGGCTCTGATGCTTTACGAAACAAAAAATATTCCCCTCACTCATGTGAACCTCCATTTCTCTGCCTATAGAATAGAATAACTAGAACAACCCATTTCTAAGGAAAAAAAAAAGAACTGAAAAGCACTTGGCAAGCCAGGCAGTGGGCCCTGCACCCCCTTATGCCAGGTGCCTCCAGGGCACGGCAGTCCACCAGCAGGCTTACCTCTCGGAGTTCTGCCAGCTCCTTCTGAAGGTGGAAGAGCTGAAACATCCCCAGTCCCAATCCTACCAAGGCAACCAGAACCATGAAAAACATCACAAGGAGACACAGGCCTGTGCTGTGGGTCCCTCCCTTCTTCAGGGGTGGCAGTGGTAATGGAGGCAATGGTGGCGGTGGTGGAGGTGGTAGTGGCGGCGGTGGTGGCGGCGGCGGTGGTCTCCTTTGGCCAGGCCTTCTGGGCACAGAGGTTGGACAGGGAAGCACTGTGCCTGGAGGGGCCCAGGGAGAGCTGGCACTGCTGTCCACCCAGTAGATCTGGGGATATGGGTAATTGAAGGGCTGCTGCATGGCAGCCGGTGACTCCAGCCAGCCCCAGCAAATGGTCTTATTTCTTCCTAATCCTGTAGAGGCTGAGGCGTCAAGGACAGGACTCCTGTTGCTGACTGCTCAAGAGAAAGGAAGCTAGATCTCTCTTATAGAGTTTCCATAGCTAAGGGAAACACCTCTCTCTCATTCTGCTTCTCAGAGAAACGCCCACTCACTTTGCATCTGAAACTGAGAAGTCTCAAGAAGCTCAGAGCAAACCCCTTGGAAGTTTCCGCCCACAATTTTCTTATGAAGGCCTTTGAAGCCCTAGGTGCTGTCGCTGGGCTACCCAAAAAGGCTGGTAGGCTGTGCTCCCCTTCCTTGGGTCCTGCAGAGCAGGTCAGCACTGGGATGTAGCCCTGTTGGTGTCAACTTCTCCCAGCTACAGGAGAATGGCCAGTGGAGATATAATTTTATGAATTATAATCGTATGCATTTTTATAAATTATCATTATATAATTTTAAGAATTCTACAATACATACAACCAAAAAACTATTTTAAAATCCCAAAATAACTCTAACAAAAATTGTTCAGAATCATATTTTTAAATCCATAAATTTTACTGCAAATGGCTCTGAGGTGAAAGACCATGAAGTCATGGCCAAAGAAGTCACTCCCACATTTTACTTTTTGCAAAAGGAAAACATCTGTTGCCATCATCCCTTCCCCACACACAAGTATCATCTACCCTGACCAGCAAATCACCATAATTTACAGAGTAAAAACCTGCTACACCCACTTTAGAAATTAGCTCAGAGGCTGCAAACCAGTGGAACCCACAGAGCTGCTTTGTATTTCACATGTTTTTCTTTTCATTGGTTGCCCACTTTATTTATTTATTTATTTAAAGAGAGACAGAGTCTCACTCTGCCACCCAGCCTGGAGTGCAGTGGTGCTACCATAGTTCACTGCAGCCTCAAAATCCTGGGCTCAAGCAGTCCTCTTGCCTCGACTCCCAAGTATCTGGGATTATAGGCATAGGTCACTACACCTGACTAATTTATTCTATTTTTTTGTAGAGATGGGGACTTGCTATGGTGCCCAGGCTGGTCTCAGCCTCCTGACTTCTAGAGATCCTCCCGCTTCAGTCTCCCAAAGTGCTGGGATTACAGACATGAGCAACTGCACTCAGCCAGCCCAACTGACCACTTTAAATATTGATACTAAAAATATTATATATTTTTAAATACACATTAAAAAAATATTTCTATTCTCTTTTGAAACATCAGAATGTCGGACACCCTCAAGGCCATGGGTAGCAGCTACCCCTGAGAATGAAGGACAGGTGTTCTGGGTCACCCAGCCTCCACCACGCCCCTGTGTCTTACACATCACCTCACCATCTGAAAGGCCTGCCTGGTCTCTGCTGACATTTCTTGTGCAGCCACTGTTATGGTTGCCAGATTAAACACATGGTGACCAATTAAATTTGAATTTCAGATAAATAATACATAATTTTTAGGGCAAGTATGTCTTAAACGTGTCCACACATGGAATATACTAAACAATTATTTATTGTATAATCTGACATTCAAATTTAACTCTGTGCCCTATTTCTTTGTTTTGTTTCATTTAAAGCAGGCCTCTCTCCTTGGACTCACCTCACCCTTTCTCCTCTGGCCTCAAATACCATTTATATGCCAATAACTTCCAAGTAGTTAGCTTCAGTCCTAATTATTCTCCAATATAAGCCATACAAATGCCCTGTAAATCCCACTTTGTCATTTTCTTTTTCAGGTTTATTACTTTTCAAATTTCATTAGTTTTTATATCATGCTTTGGGATTTCTGTGGCTATCATTCAGGCCCACTCACCTGTACCAAACCAATACCAAAGGTACTATTTCCCCGATGGATTCTGCCCACGCCAGCCCAACCCCATCCCCCCACAACCTGTTTCTCCTGAGGCCACTCTTTCTGGAGACAACTTCATCTCCTCTCTTTTCCTCTCCCCCAACATTTAACTGGTCACCCAGGATTGTTGCTTTTACCTGAGACCTGTTCCTTACCCTCCCCTCAATATAAGGTTCCCCCTGCCCCACCCTTGCCATTCCCATTTTTCTTACTGCTATTGCCCAGGGTCAGATTTTTATTATCTCTCACCTGAAATACTGCAGTGATGCCCTAACAGGTGACCTGCCACCAATTTTTCCCAAGCCCGAATCACCCAGTAAAATGCTACGAGAAAGACGTTTTAAAAAGCAAACCTAACGATCTCACTTCCCTGCCTTGTGTTGAAAGGTCTGATACCAGGAGTAGTGCAAGCTCCTTAAGCATTACCCAAGGCTCTTTAGCATCAGCTCCCACTGCCTCCTTGCCAGGCACTCCTGCTCACATCCCACTCGCCACTCTTAAACAGGGCAAGGGATGAGACTAGCAAGACTGTGCACGAGTTAACGAGCTTTTGAACTCATATGTGGCTTTATTTACCGTTATAAACTAAGTTTAAACTTCATTATAATCAGAAACTATAATTTTAAGAATTCTACCATACATAAAACAAAACTATTTGAAAATCCCAAAACAACTGTAACAAAAATTGTTCAGAACCATGCTTTTTAAATTATAAAAATTCTACTGAAAATGGCAAAGATTCAAATAAGTGGGAAAAATTCACCATATCCTGGATGGGGAGGATAGGCAGGTGGTGTTGCTTGATGGTTGGAGGTCAGTGGTTCTGAAGAGTTGTTAAACTATGTGGCATCCAATCCCAACTCTTCTGCTCATTAGCTGTGTGAACTGGACAAGTCACTTTCCCTCCTCGGTGCCAGAGTTTTCTCATCTGTAAAAATAAGCATGATCCTAACAGTACCTGCTTTATGGAAATTAAGAGGATTAAATGAGTCAAAGCACTTGATACACTTAGAATAGTCCCTACCACCAAGATAGGCACTCAACAGATGTTCTTGTTGTAAATTTAGTGAATCTCTCCCCAAATAATTCATCTATAGACTTAATGTAATTGACCTTCTTCCGTTAAGGACAAACGAAGTGGAGAGAGGGAGAGAGGTTGTCGGGGAAAGTGAAAAGTTAATGTTTGACATCCAGTATCTCTCTGAGATCCTACCCTGAACAGATAGGCCCTTCCATTTCAGGCTAAAACCTCCTGACTTTTCCATCTCAAACTCCCACAGAAACTACCAGCACTCTCCAATAAGAATTATGCTCTATTTTCACATCTCCTTCCCTGCTGCTTCTTTTGATTCATTCTGCAACAGAAGAAATTAAGAGGTAAATACCTGCCCCTGACCCTCCCACTATCCTCCAGCCATAGAGAGAATGTGAACTGAAATAGAGTCAAAGAGAACATTTTAAACACTTGTATTGATCTTCAGTAATAACACCAAACAATCACAGGTTGGCAAAATCATGGAAAAATAAAACACCCGTAGGTACAATAACAGGGACCCATTACATTTTGGGATACTTCCAAAACCTTATTAATAAGAAGAAATAATTGTTACAGGCAGATCTTAGTTCTGTGAATGCTAAAGAAAATAATATTCGCCTTTGAGAGATGAACTTAATAAACAAATCAAAGGCTGGTGGCTCCCACAGGCTGGGAATTTTAACTGAAGAGCTTTGCTCAGTCTTGCTCTACTGTCTCCAATTGTACCTGCAGAATCTCTAATTCTGGAACCAGAGGTTCCTCGGAGGATAGACAGAGGAGAAATATTCAGAGCCGACAATCTCTTTTAGGAGGAGGGAGAGGCTTACCAGCCATAGAGATTCAAAGGGACCTAGGTGACACTTGGGAGCAAATTTACTTGGAGGACCAAATAAGAGAAAACACTTTATACAAGTTATTACAATTTTAAAAGATATCTTCTCATTAGATGAACATTCAAGTTATCTTTAATTGTGGTCCCTTCAGCTTTGTAATTTTGTTCAGAATTGTCTTAACCATCTAGAAAAAGGATTTAACTATGCTACTACACTAGTCACGTGGAGGTTAAAAGGACCAGGTCATAAAGAGAACAAAGTTCCTATTTCGATCTTCCATGCAGTGGTGTCGCAGGGAAGTGGACTCAGTGGACTGTGACTCAAAGCTCCAGAGGTGACTCAGCAATCACAGAGAGTGATGCACGACGAAAGCAGCCACTGTGAACCTTCACAAACCTAGAGGAGAATTCCAAGACTATCTGCCGAGTGAGTAAGAAAACCAAATCTTCTGATTTTCCCCAGAGGTGAGCAAAGACCCCAGTACATTCACAGACATGCACCTACACATTTAATTTCACTAAGTGATTTCTTGAGACTCATCTGAGTGGCTGAATGCCTTAACACCACCACCAATTATGTAAGAGCTATTTTATCCGATGTCCTCAGCTCTATTTGGTATTATCCACCTTTTAATTTTTGCCAAGGATTATGACTATAAAGTTATAAATCATTGTCTATATCTTCCTTTTTCTGATCTCCTGTGAGGTTGAACATCTGATCATATGCTTGTTAGCATTCAAGTTTTCCTTTTTGTATATATTTCCTATTCACATACCATACCCATTTTTAAACTGGATTTCCTACCTTTTTTGTGCTGATTTGCAGGATCTCCTTGTACTTTATATTCTAGGTATTAATCCATAGCTGCACAGGTTTTGTATTTAGACTTTAATCCACCTAGAGTCCATCTTTGTGAGATGAGATAGGAGTCTATTTTTCCCCATGTATGAAACTAATTTTCCCACACAACCCATCTTCTCCCCCACTAAATTGGCATATTTATCACACATCGTTTCTGCATAGAGTTGAGTCTTTTTCTGAACTCTTATTTCCGTTTCATTGATCTGTTTATCTGTTCTAATACCAGGATCACATTGTTTCTGTAATTGCAGCTTGTGGAATGTCTTGAGAGATGGTGTGGCAAAATACCCCACTTTTTTTATATTTTTAAAATCTACTTAACTATTTGGGCATAATTATTTCATATTTTTTCATATATGTATATGAAAAAACTGCCATGTTCCTAAAACATCCTACTAATCTATTAACTGTAATTGCAATAATTTGGAGGAACTGTTATTGTTACCCTACTGCAGCAATTTTTCTTATTTGTATGATCTTTCAAATTTTTCTCCATAGTCTCATACACGCTTTCTCAGATGAATTGCTTGGTAATTTGTAATTCTGGTGTGATTACAAATGGGGTCTTATTTTCTGTGGTATTTTCAGATGCTGTGGTAGGTAGTCTCTAAGATGATGCCAATAATCTGCCACTTCCTATTATGTATGCACTTCTATTATACCCTCTCCTGGAGAGTGAGCTAGACTTACTGACTCACTTCTAGCTAATAGAATACAGCAAAAATGATGGGATTTCACCTCTGAGATTAAACTACAGAGAGAACTATAGCTTCCATCTCTACCTCCCTTCCCCCATTCTAGGGGAAGCAAGCTTCCATATTGTGAGCAGACCAATGGGAGAGGCCCATGTGGCAAAGAAGTAATTTTTCTGGCCAACATCCAGCAAGAACCTAAAGCCTCTAATAGCAACGCGACTGAGTCACTGAGTGGATTCTGCTCCAGTGACACCTTGAGATGATTGCAGCCCGACCTATCTTGGATAGCCCGACCTATCCAAGCCAAACCAAGCTTGGATTCCTGACCCACAGAAATTGTGAAATAATGCATATTTGTTATTTTAAACCATTACACTTTGGGGTAACTTTTATGCAGCGATAGATAATAACATACGGCTATTGCTGCTTTAGATGAATGCTCTTTATTTTATAATAATGTTGATTCTTACAAACTTGTGGATCTCGTTTTTTACTTTTGATAGTGTGTATGTTGATTCTGTTTTTATAGAAATATACATTTTCAGTGGAAAAGGTAACCAGTTTTTATCCTTTTTCAATCCTTATACCTCATTCTTTTTCTTTTCATATTGCCTCAGACCTCAAGAACTATTTAAAACAATACCCGTGATTTTGGACATGTTTGTCTTCATTCCAATCTTGAAGAGTCTGCATCTAAAGCTTCTCATAATAAGTATGAGTATATTTTCCAAAGGTATTTGGTTTTTTGTATTTTGCCTCTGGGACTAAGAGAATTTCCCTATTGTATTAATAGGATTTCATCTGCAAAAGGGTGAAACACTGAAATTAGAATAACTTAAGAAGGACTTAATAAAAGGGATTGTTTACAAACACAAAGGTGGGAAACCAAAGGGGATCCTATGATGCTCTGGAACTTGAAGGACCAGTGTTGCGATGACCACTAGGTGGGGAGAGAAGGAAGTTACTAGAACCTCAGGATGAAAAAATTTTGTGGAGAAGGCTGCCTGAACAGCAATTGTGACTTCCAGTCAAGAACTGCAGCCAGTCTTCAGTGACTACACAAGGAGCAGCTGCAATCAGTACCCTGTTCTACCCCATCCTCCCCTTCTGGTGGTGCTCCACATTGGGCAAACTCTAGTGAAGGCCAGAGAGCAAGGAAGCCCATTGACATGGTCCGTACAGATTAACTTCTCAGGAGAGAGAGCAAAATGTAGTCTGCATAATGTTGACAATTTGAAATTTATTGAGACTTTTCTTGCAGCTAATACTCTATTTTTGTGAAAGTGCCTCTTGTTTGAAAAAAAATCTGTTTTCGATTTGCTATAAATCCATGTATTTGTTACAATTTACATTTATATATTAGTTGGGGGGTTTTAATGATATCATTCAAGTGTGCTGTAACTTTGCTTGACATTTCAGTTTCTAAAATGAGTATGTTAAAATTTCCAAGTGCAATGAATAATATATCTATTTGTTTCTACATTTGTCATTTGATCTTTTGTTTTGAGCTATCTCATTAGATACACATATGTCCATAGTTATTTTACTCTCATTTCTATGAGTGTATTTTGTTCATTTTTTAGCTTTAGAATATTTCTTTACCTTGGGTTCTGTTCTGTCTGATACTAAAATTGCTACTGTGGTTATATTTGGGCCTATATATTAACACCACCTTATTTTGTGGTATATATCAGACTCCTGCCCCCTTCCTTCCTTTTTTTTTTTTTTTTGTCTCGCTTTGTCACCAGGCTGGAGTGCTGTGGCACAATCTATGCTCACTGCAATCTCCACAGGAGATTCTCCTGCCAAATAGCTGGAACTACAGGCACCTGCCACCACGCCCAGCTAATTTTTGTGTTTTTTTGTAGAGATGGGGTTTTACCATGTTGGCCAGGATGTCTCAATCTCCTGACCTTGTGATCCACCTGCCTCAGCCTCCCAAAGTGCTGGGATTACAGGAGTGAGCCATCACTCATGGCCCTTTCTTTCTACTAGATAGACCAAATTGTTTTTCTGCTGATAGGAAATGTAAATATTCTTATTTTTATTCTTCTGGTGGTTACTTTTATTTAAAAAAAATAGGCTCTTATCTATTTTTCTACCAATCCCTTAAATGTATAAACATCTATGTAGGTCCCTGAACATTAGCACCTTAATACAACCACTCCATCCCCAGCCACTACCTCCGTATGTTGGTGGGATGCCATGTTGATAGCACCTAAAATTTAAATTCTGGATTGTGTTGTATTTTTATGTTTCCTTTGCCTTCATACTTAAATGATGGTTTACTTGACTATACATTTCCAAATATGACATACTTTTTCCCAAAAAATTGGCAAATATAATTTTTGTCTTCTTGTATCCAAGGCTATTATTAAGAAGTCAGTGGTCAATCTAACTCTCATTCCTTTTCAGGCGACTTGCCATTCTTCTCCAGAAGCTTTCAGAATGTTCACTTTCTGTAATTAATTACACTAATGAAATTATTGGTGTAATTAATTATGGGAATGATTATGCAATTATGATTATGTAACTAATTATGGCAACATGGGAAACAGAAATGTGCAGAACCATAGCTCTGGCACCAAACCTATCACTCTATGGAATCTGACATTCTTCCACTCTGAGCTGTTGTATGCATCTACTCACATGCACATCAAGACCCAAGCCCCACCCTTCTCCCCTCAAGAATTTCTCAGGTCTATGTCAGTTTCTCAGGCCCAACAAGATACTTTTTTTTCTGGGAATTGAGACCGAGTTCAGGGGATGGAGTCAGAAACCCATGTTACTATGTCACCTTGTCAGCCCTGCTACATTTCTTATCTCTGTTACCTCTGACATTATTGTGGGAATAATGACTTAAATGACTTAATTCATGTGTCCAGGGTATAGTAAATGCTCTACAACTGTTAGCTGTAATTATTATTTATCACCAGCATCATTAGCAATATGCACCATGGTCCCACAAAAATTAGTATATATATTATCTTCATAGATGAGTAATTGGACTCAGAGAAGAAAAGTAACCTTGGTGACAAGTGTAACCAGGATTCGCTCACACCTTCACCTGTCATCTCCAAAAGGTATCCGCTCTTTCTGCAGTTAAGTATCCCTTATCTAAAATGCTTGGGACCAGAAGTGTTTTGGATTTTGAACTTTTTTAAGATTTTGGAATATTTGCACACACATAATGAGGTATCTTGGAGCTGGGACCCAGTTCTTAACACAAAATGCATCTATGTTTTGCATGCACCTTGTATACCTAGTCTGGAGATAATATTATATGATATTTTCAATAATTCTGTGCATGAAACAAAATTTTGTTTGTGTTTTTACTGTGATCCAAGTGAGCTCACGTGTGGAGTTTTCCACCTGTGGTATCAGGTTGGATCTCAAAACTTTTGGATTTGGGAGCATTTTGGATTTAAGATTTTGGGATTAGGAATGCTCAACCTGTATTACCCTTTGTGTATATGGCCTTTTCTACTCCCACCTCACAAGATCTGATGGGTTCAGGAAATTCTGTAAGATATTAAAGATGGCTTATTGTACTTTAATAGGTAGATGGCCAAAACTTGCTTTATGCTTCAATTTGATAAGGTTAGTTTCTAAGAGAAAAAGAACTTTGCTGTCCTTTTTTACTGTGAAAGAATGAGTTGAGGGATAAACTATCACACATAACTCTGTTTTCTCCAAGTTGCAGGAGGTTGAAGGGGAGAATCCAGAGGCTGTGGATGACAGTTGCAACGCAGTCAAAGTGATCATTCAACTTTGACACCATACAAAACGAACATTGTGATCTCAGGAGTATGCCCTTTCTTTCCTTGTCCCATTTATATCAGTCAAGGTCTGGTCAGAAAAACAGAAGCCACTCTAAGTATACAGAGTAAGAAATGGTTTAATATAGGAATTAAAGGCTGGGCAAGTAAAGCTCAGGAAGGCCACTTTTAGGAAACTTTAAAGTGCAGTTCTTGTTCTCTAACCAATCCTTTCAGTTGCTAGGAGCACTGACTTGGTAATTCTTAGGAGGATACCCAAAAGCAGTGAGAAAATTCCACACTGCTTCTACTCTCCTAGTAGCTGCTATGCAGAACAATGTCTTCCCCTTCTCTTCTACCTTCTAAATCTCATGCAACTTCTTCTTATTGGTGGAATCTATTTGGGATCCTATTTGCAATGGAGGATAAAAATTGTAATTGTAATTTCTAGACTTTATGCTCCTGGGGACACGGAAAAGTATAGAATAACAGACATGATACTGAGTACTAACAAATTATACGTGGTACACTGTGTCTATTTGCTCACCATTATTAGTAAAAACTCACAAATATATGTTGATCGAATTAATGGATACAGAAGCGTCCCGGTTCTGGAACAGGATTTCTTGCTGGGAATCAAGATTCCTCTGCACCGTCATTCAGTGATGCCATGTGCTCCAGGCCCTGAAGGCACTTTGAAGCCCTTAATGGCCTGCTGCTGACGTGACTGTAGAAGAAGCAGAGGTGTGTTCCCCACCTTTCACTGAGGTGGGCCATGTCATTGCATCAGGTGCTACTGGTGTACATGTAAACCCAACCACATCACTCTGCTGTTTCAAGTAACACTTCGGTCGCTTTCTATTGACTTTAGAATAAAATCTGAATTTTCCATGACTTCCAAGAATTTGCGTTTTCTGGACTCTTTCTAACTCTCCAACTTACCTCACTTTATTTCTCTCTCACCACATTATGTCTGCACAACCTTTCAGTTCATCAAACATGGCAAATGATTTCCACCACAGGGCCTTGGCTTGAGAAGCTCCCACTGCCTGGAATCCACTTTGCCACACTTCTGCCCCATTCTTTTAGGACCAGCTCCTAGAATCCTTCCATCCTAAACATCACATCCTCAAAGAGGCCTTCGCTGGTCACTCCATCTAAGTGAGATATTCCCTGTTAGTATTCTCTTTCATAATATTCTGTGTGTTTTTTTTTAGTACGTATCACAATTTCCCATTAGTCACACACATATATATATATATATATATATATATATATATATATACACACAGACACATATTTACACATACTTTTTATAATGTCTGTCTTCCTCACTGTATTCTAATGCCATGAATACAGGGAGTGTGTAGACATAGCCTAGCAGAGTGCCTGACAACTAATACACACTCAACTGATAATTTTGAAACAACTCTACACAGATTCCCCAAGTAGTAGTTTGTTGTTGTTGTTGTTGTTTTTTTGAGATGGAGTTTTGCTCTTGTTACCCAGGCTGGAGTGCAATGGCATGATCTCGGCTCATTGCAACCTCCGCCTCCTGGGTTCAGGCAATTCTCCTGCCTCAGCCTCCTGAGTAGCTGGGATTACAGGCACGCGCCACCATGCCCAGCTAATTTTTTGTATTTTTAGTAGAGACGGGGTTTCACCATGTTGACCAGGATGGTCTCGATCTCTTGACCTCATGATCCACCTGCCTCAGCCTCCCAAAGTGCTGGGATTACAGGTGTGAGCCACCGCGCCCAGCCCCAAGTAGTAGTTTTACAGTACCGTCAAGTTACCATTCATTCACTTTTTCAATTTCTTACCAATTTTTGACCCTTAAATACTTCAAAAAAAAAAAAAAAGAGAGAGAGAGAGAGATGATATTTAAGAGAAATTACACAGGCTTACACCCAACAGTATTCATTCCTGTTAATAATCCAACTGGATCCCACCCATGGCAACTTTTGTTCTTTCTTGCCTCCAGATAACCTTCTTGCCACCCAAAACACATCCCAAAAAGCCAGGAAGCATCACTGTCCTCCTTCCTGGTGCAAAGGTTTAAATACCATTCAGTGCATTCACTATTTCTCTCAGGAGGCGCATCAGGCTCTCTTGCAGTTAGAATCCTCATGGCGAACCCGGATACAGTAAAATTGAGGTGACTCTGCAAATTGATCTTGCATTTTCAGTCCACATACACAAGCATGATACATTGTGCATGACTGAGAACAGTGTTAGAGGTCACACAGGGGTTACTAAATCATATCATGACTAATAGTCTGAATTTCTCAAAAAGAAATGGCTAATGATGAATTCCAAACTTAGATTAACGCCTGATATTAGAGGTACTCAATAAATATCTGTTTGAATAAAGATGAGTAAACTGACACTCAAATAAGTTAAATGACTGGCATGAGATTATGCCGCCTATTGGTGTTTGAGGCAAAATTCTCAGAGGGCCCATTGTGGGAGAGCTTATAAAAAACAGTTCTCCAGGTTGGGCCCGGTGGCTCACACTTGTAATCCCAGCACTTTGGGAGGCCGAGGTGGGTGGATCACTTGAGGTCAGGAGACTAGCCTGTCCAACATGGTAAAACTTGTATGTACTAAAAATACAAAAAATTAGCCAGGCATGGTGGCAGGTGCCTGTAGTCCCAGCTATGTGGGAGGCTGAGTCAGGAGAATCGCTTGAACCTGGGAGGCAGAGGTTGCAGTGAGCTGAGATCGCACCACTGCACTCCAGCCTGGGTGACAGAGTGAGACTCCGTCTCAAAACAGAAACAAAAAAGCAGTGCGCCAGGTAATCCAGTGAGTAGCGCCCCCAAGTGTGCAAGGCTGAAAGGGCCACCAACTGCAGGGCTGTGAGGAGGTGGGATAAGGTGGGAGGCGCACCTCAAACAACATCTATTAAGACTGGAAACACCTGGGTCTTGTGGGCTCTTTCATGCGGCCTTTTTTTGTGCTTGAAATGCTTTACTGCAAAAACATGTGTCACGGTGAGTTTGTGGGAAAGCAGATGCGCCAAAGGCTGACTTAAATGTCAAAGTCGTTGCTTTTGTCACCCACTGTTTCCTTTCAGTGCCTAGCAGATATTGGTTAGGGGTGTGTAGCTGGATACTTGGGAGCCTTCCATGCTGGGGGACTCATGAGAAGCAAGTGTTAAGCATATGGGCTCTGTGTCTGAGGTGTGGCTTGCTGTCTGTCACAGACCTAGGGACAATAGGAAAAGTATGGCTGCAGCCAGTAGTGAAAAGATCCCTAGCTCTTGTACCAGTTTGTTATTTTACAAATGAGGTCTCTCTCCTGAGCCTTATTTGCCAGCCCGCTGTAGTACTGTTACCTTAGTCTGCTCACACTGCCATAATAAAATACCATAGACTGGGTGGCCTGAAGAACAGAAAGTTATTTTCTCACAGTTCTGTAAGCTGGAAGTTCAAGATCAGGGTGTCAGCATGGTCAGGTTCTGGCGTGGGGTCTCTTCCTGGCTTGCAGTTTGCCTCCTCGCTGTGAGTTCACTTGGCAGAAAGTGATCTCATTCTTGCTCTTCTGTTAAGGCCGCCAACCCTAGCACATTCAGACCCCACCCTTTTGGCCTCACTTAACCTTAAGTACCTCATCTCAGTTCTTTCTCCAAATATAGTCACATTAGGGGTTAGGGTTTCAATGCATGAATTTGGAAGAGTACAAAATTCAGTTTGTAACAACCATCTTACCCACCTAAATCCTTAGATGTCTCTAGAATCTCAGCACTAGACTAACATGGAGATCATCCTGTGCTGTCTCTTGTTTCAAAGATGGGAACATTAGGAGGGGAGAGGAGGTCCTAAGACCACACAGCCAGCATGTGGAAGAGTTAGCATCTGCCCTGTCTCCTAGTGCTTCCCCACCACATCTTAGATGTCCAGAAATAAAACAACAAGCAAGCATTTGTTTCTGTTCATTTCCACCCATACCTGTCTTGAGCACCTAATACATACAGGGTGCCCACAGAGGGTGCGAGGACATAATGGTCCCGGCACAATTCCTTAGGGGACTCACAGTTTGGGGGCCATGTTCCTCATCGTTCAGTTGAAAATCTGAGATAGAATGACCTTCCCAAACTGTGCCAGACATGGTGGATGGCAGCCTGCCATTTCCAATAATGAAATGCCTCAGAGCAAACAGGAAAAGATTAAATATTAAATATGTTCGGTTTAGAGATTTCCTGTGCACAGATGTCACTCCTTCCTTGCTTCATGTCCTCTGTGCTTCATGTATTCAGGGGACAATCATATCATGCTTGGTGGGCAACTCAGATTATTAAGGATTTGACTGTCAGCTAAAAATCAAACTCTTTAGAAAAGAGATGACACTAGAGAGAGAGTCTTCAGTCCAAACCGTAATACAAAAGATGCGAAAACTGAGGCCCAGGAAAACAGTGAATCACCCAGGCTCATCCAGTAGTGAGTGGCAGGGCCAGAGTCAAAACCCCCGATCCCCAGCATCAGTCAGGGCCAGGCACTCACCACAGATGCACAAACCCTGAATGCCTTAGAGACAAGACTCAAACCATGTGAAAATTTACTTCTATCCAGATAAATCTGTGATGTTATCTCGCCCCTAAATAATTGATCCTAGAAACTATATATTTGTCCTCAGCTGAGAAGCAGAGACTATGCTTCTTGATCCTCTGAATTGAGAAAAAATAAAATGGTATTTGCCCTCCTGAAGAAAACATCCAGCTTTTTACAACCGGCTTTTCTAAGGTATGAGGAAGGTCCTGAAGAGGGGGAGAACCAATTTCAGGGAGCTAGCCTTAAAACATAGATGGAGAGAAATGAGTGTTTTTATGTCAACACTCTTAAACTTTAGATGGACTGTTGCTCTGTTGCCCAGGCTGGAGTGCAGTGCATGATCTCAGCTCACTGCAACCTCCGCCTCCTGGGTTCAAGCAATTCTCCTGCCTCAATCTCCTGAGTAGTTCAGAGTACAGGCATGTGCCACCATTTCTGGCTAATTTTTTTTTGTATTTTTAGTAGAGACAGGGTTTTGCCATGCTAGTCAGGTTGGTCTCAAACTCCTGATCTCAAATGATCCTCCCTCCTCAGCCTCTCAAAGTGCTGGAATTACATGCATGAGCCGTGGCACCCAGCAGAACACTTGTAAACTCTTACACAGCAGAAGTGAAGTGACTGCACTTGGCCATTGTAGTGTAAATTTGCCCTGCAACCATCACCACATTTTTGCTGAGTCCAATTTTCTTTGAGTAACTACCTATGCTTCCCTCCTATACCCCGTTCATGTGGTTCAATTGCAGCTGCTCCCACTGTTCCAGGCATGAGCACAGAATCCAGCTTGCTTCATTAAACCCATGAGTCTCGTTAGCCCCAGTGACTAGATTATGGATGGTCCAGTGGTGCATCTGACTGTTTCTGAGCAGCTCTGGGACCTTTGCTGAAGCTACTGGTAAAGAAGTGCTTTTATTCTGCTGGGCTTGGCTGGTCATCTACATGAGAATGTCTAAAGATGGTAGAGCTGAGAGATGGACAAAGATGGATTTGTGGATATCATCTCAGTGTAGGATTCCAACTGAATCTTAATCTGGGAAATAATTACTACATTTTATATGTTGTAGAAACCAGAATTTTCTTTTTTTTGAGTTTGGTTTCTGTCATTTGCAACCAAAAGAGACCTAATATACCCTCAACAAGGACACTGAGTAGATGCTTAAAGAGATTAAGAGTTTCAGTTAAAGGGCAATGAAAACTGCCTGAGTCCTCCCAGCTCCTGAGAAGAGGAGAGGTTAACTTCACCCAAATGGGGGTTCTGGCCCTAAGAAGGGTGCTTCAGTGGCAGAGTAGAGCTTACCAGGAGATGAGAGCTCATCCCAGGCTGACCTCTAGTTGCCCACCCACCTAACATTCCACTGAGTTTCAGTGTGACAATATGAAACTATTTTTGTTGAAGTTTCACCTCCTCTGACTCCCACAATGCTTTCCAGGTCCCCAGAATACAATTTTTCAATTAGAGGTACCCCTTAATGCCTGAAATTAGAGTTCATCACCACTACATTTTCTCTCTTGCTAAATCCCAAGCTTCCATCATTTATGATGAACATCCTGATCTCAAAGTCCTTCTTTCCCTGTGGTTGCCCTTCCTCTCTGCCTTCATCCAGCACAAGCAGGGCAGACTTCAGTCCTTTCA